AGGAGCGAGCAGATCAAATGAAAACTATGCCTTTGAGCATTGTGGCTAAAGAAAATCAGTGGCTAGGATTTTCTGTACCTTGAGCATCCCAAATGATACAATTGGGACCATGAGGGAGATCAAAGGTTGCTTTCTGTAGCATTTGTTGCTTTTTCTCCTTTCTGTAGAATCAATGGGTCCATGCTGCTTGACATCTCATGTATCTAGATTCACAAATACACGTTTTAATTTACTTATAAGAAGATTCACAACTTGTTCCTTCCACCCTCAGACTGCCAACAGAAATAATAGACCCATACGGCTCTGGGGGCATGAGTCCCAAAACCAGGCCTCTAACAGCTGGTCTCTGCAACTCCAGGATCCCAAACATAATGTACTGTGTTCTACTGAGAGGCAAGGGTGCCTAATAGTCTCTGTGATCTGGTAGCCTCTGAGACCCCTAGAAAAGTAGCCCATGAAACATGAGGATATGGTGCAAGAAGCAAGCATCCTCCTCCCTCCCCCCAATACATACAAAAATGGGAAATGAGGCCCACACAGCTTCATAAAAGCAGGGTTTATAGTTGGTGGCTCACACAGTTCGTACAGCAGCCCCACGGCTTACAAGGACTTAAATTATTTTTAAAATAAAAGCTGAAGATTTCTTTTAAGCTTTACATAAATTAATCCCCCTTTAGAAAAAAACATGCATTATTTAAAACAAAACTTCTAAAGCATAACAGGAGTTTAAATATAGTAGCTACATCTGCACCCACATAGAGTCAGCAATGCTGTCTGTATCTCTTGTAGCAGCTTTCCTGCCATAATTACTTCTGCGTTTTATTAATATTATTTTAATTGGCGTCTCTGATCACTTCAGGTTTGCAAATATCTTTGGAAGAGGGTACACAGTTTTGTGGTTTGTAAGGGCATGAACTTGTTCTTGCGAGACTAATTTTAGGTTTTAATAAAGAGGAATAGAACAGTCGGGAAATGAATGGGACAGCTAAGATGTCTAGTAATGGGATTTAAGTAATCTCTGTGTTTCTGTTTCCACAGCAAAGGAGCAACTGCAGGGACAGCGTGTCCTGATGAACTTTTGCTAACCTGTACAGAACAATCCTATACATGCCTACTCAGAAGAAAGCCTGAATTACTTAACTGTGAAGTTCACACAAGCTATGTACCCACTCCTTCAGAGGGAGTGTAACCCCATCAAGAATATGCAACCTCCCCTCTGGTCTAGAGAATCTGGTCTAGAGAACCACCCACTAACCGTGCCTCAGTCCATTACCGAGGCAGAACAAGGGTTCAGCACATCCACTGCCTCACCTGCAGATGTAAAGGAGAAGTAGAGCTGTGTGTCATCAGCATATTGCGGACAACGTACTCCAAACTCTGGATGACCCCACTAAGAGGTTCAATGTAGAAATTACAAACAAGGAAAGAAGAACATATAAAAATGCCAACATACTTCAAATCCTTTTCATAGAATCATAAAGGTCTGTTTAGAAACCTCCAAGAAAGGAGAGTGAAATATACTCGGAGTCCTGCAAGGCAGTTGTTGCATTCTAGGATCCTACTTGCCTATTGTTCTAGGATCCAAGGTTAGTGCATAACAGAGAGTCTACCACCTCTTGTGGGAGTCTGTTCCAGTGCTGAACAGCTCTTACAGTCAGAAAGTATTTCCGAAGGTTTAGTCGGAATCTCCTTTCTTGCAACTTGAAGCCATTGGTTTGAGCCCTACCCTCCTCTGCACACGTTCCAGCTTGTCAACACCCTTCTTAAATTGTGGTGCCCAGAATTGGACACAGTATTCAAAGTGTGGTCTGACTAAGGCAGAAGATAGTGGTACTACTTCTTCCCTTGATCTGGACGTAATACTTCTGTTGATGTGAATAGCAAATACATATATATATATATATATATATATATATATATATATATATACACGGTGTGTGTGTGTGTGTGTATTTAACTTGGAAAAAAATTAAGAGAATGTGATTCCATGGTAGGCTTTATATGCAATCCACATTTATTAGTAATAAAATGTGTCTTCTTCAAGGCCATTAACTCCATTATTCACAGAGTGCTTCAAAAATGGTTAAGGCTAGTCATTAAGAGTGAAATAGCACCCAACAAAAGAGAAAAAGGAAAGATAAATAGAAAACTGTCAAAATTATCATAAATCACTGTTCTGTAGCTGTGATTTTACTTCCCGGGGACTGTCAACGAGTACCTTTCAAAAAAGAAAAGAAAAAGCATCTCAGATATCAGATAAGGAGAAAGGAATAGCCTTTTAAAGAGATCTACTGACCAGAAGAAATCTATGATTTCAGAAAAGCATTCAGAAAACCACTCCAAGGATATTTCATTGCCTCTTAAACCTATTTTCTGGGAAGGCACTGCCGCTAATGGGTTTTGGTGTTTGGGGGTATTAATTATGTCCTACAACACACATACTCACAAAACAGATCTCATGATGCAAGGCCATTTAAAAGGGACAGGAGATTTGCACAGGGCTTCTGCATCTTTAACAGCTGTGGAGAAGAGGACATTTCATACCATGTGCCGCTTGCAGGGCAAGCTAGCCTCTTTCACACCTGAGCACCCTAATATAGGGGACCACAGGGCAGCAGTAATGATAAATGAGGGCAGGAATGTTGTCTGAATTGGACAGCAACACTAGGAGAGTTGGCACTAGGAGAGGCTGGTCATCACTTCAGGCAGGTAAACATCTTGGGCGACAATGTTCAAGAGCATCTGTTGTTCAGATTATTATATTTAAAAAGCAAACCAATGCTCTAAGGACAGTCTTCTGTAAGTTAAAAACGAATATGGGATGTTGGCAAACAATTCTAGATAGTGATTAAAAACAAGGGTTATCAGCAAGAGGGTTAAGAGTAGGCTTGCTAGAATCTTACATGTGTTTATTTACTTTAATGTACATAGAAACACACACGTCCAGCTATTCAAGAGGTTTCAAGTGATCTCTGAGACCGCTCTGATTAACACTGTAATACTTGTCCTCTCTGCATTTTTCTGGAGGAGAGCCCTTCTGGGCAGCCGAGATGAAAACTGCTTGTTCTGATCTCATGATGTTGCTCTGAAACAGCACATATACTAGAGTTGCTGGGAACAATGGAACAACACTGGGAAGCTAGTGAGTGGATATTTAGCACAATAATAGAGAAGTGCAAGAAACTGATAGATGAAGTGGATGCAGAAAATAAAAACCATGCCAATCAGAGTTGGAAATTGATCCACTGAAGAGCTCTACCAATGGTATAGCTACATTTCCTACCTCAATTCACATATTTCCTTACGGAGGTTGTAACTGATGAACACCCACCTGCTTCCAGTTTGCTGAAACTACATCCATCTCAGGTGTTGTTTCTCGTTGCTTCTCTTCAACACCATGTAATAGTGCATAGGGTTCAATTGCCATAAAGACTGCAAATTGTCAACAACTTGTAGCTACAAGACACATGTCTGGCTCCCTCTAGAATTATTTCTGTGGACACCATACACACACCCAAATAGACTGATGATTAACAAGAGGAATCCTAATCATGGCAAGGGAACAGTGAGGTGGAGCAGAACAGTAGTTTGACCATGGCATCCCAAGTCCTGTTGATCATACTGGACCAGATGGAAGGTGTGGAGTGGAGACCAGTACATCTCTGCCTAGTCCTAACTTCCTTCAACAGGAGGATAATATTGCTTGGTAACTGATCTCAACAAACATCTATTTTGGTTGCAACGAAATGAAATATCCCAAAATATTTCCTTTTTTCTTTCCTCCCCACCCCCTCTTTTCCTTTATGGCCGAATCACACCTTTCTTTAAAAGTATGATTGTAGGCATGCTGCTCCAACTTTTAAGCATTTTCTGGTTTAATTCAAATAGCAGCACAATCCTCCATACCATCCTCTTAATACAAAATACATTCCATTGAGCTACACTAGGCTTGTTTCTGAGCAAACATGCATAGGATTTGCACTGTAAGGCTTAACACTTTACTGAAGTTGGGCCTTCACAGTTTGTGATCCACTAAGCCACTGATGGGGAATCTATGAATGCCACATAGGCAGTATGCTTTTAAAAATGGTTTAATACACATGTCATACATTAACTTATAGATAAATCAAATTAAACCCATGATTGATGAATATTTCTTTGTCAGGCAGCAGTCTATTTAAAAATCCTTTTATAATGTGATGCTGGGGACACTGATGGTGGCCTCACTATTTTCTTTATTATGTGTTCTGTATACAGATGTAAGAAGATTTAAATGGTTATTGCCTATTTTAAAAGACTGTCTATTATTCATAAGAGACTACATATTTGGGGTGTATGGGGGTGTTAGGGGAAGGGTAGTACCTCTGGTGGGGAACACATTGTGCTCCTTCTGAGGTAGTTTATCCACCTTTGGTCCCCACCCTGCACTCAGCTCTCTCACCTGTGGCTCCTAAAAGCTGTCAGCGTATGGTAGCAGCCAGCCACACCCCGAGAAACAGCTTTGACCAACTAGCTCAGGGGTCAGCAAACTTTTTCAGCAGGAGGCCGGTCCACTGTCCCTCAGACCTTGTGGGGGGCAGGACTATATTTTGAAGGGGGGGGAATGAATGAATTCCTATGCCCGACAAATAACCCAGAGATGCATTTTAAATAAAAGGACACATTGTACTCCTGTAAAAACACGCTGATTCCCGAACCATCTGCAGGCCAGATTTAGAAGGTGATTGGGCCGGATCCGGCCCCCAGGCCTTAGTTTGCCTACCCATGAACTAGCTAAACCAGCTAAGGGCAGCCAATGGGTCTCAAACCCTCAATGAATTAGGGACTGTCTTTCAAGACAGGTGGATGCCAACTGACTGCATTTTTGTGCAATTTAGGATCCTGCCATCACAAGGCATGTGACATTTTTTGCCTAGGTTTTGGCCAAAGTAGAGGCTAATTGGACAGAGCTGGCAGACTTTACAACATGGCTTTCTTTTTATATAATTTGATTTGCATGATTACAGGAGTCATTCGACACCAGCTTTTGAAGCTTTTGGTGACAGATGGGTAATAATTGTACATGGTGTATGTACTGTATTTTTATTTATTTCATAGCCTATTGAATAAAATTAATTTATTCAGTTGGGTTAATGTTACAAAACAAATTTGTTAACTGGAGCTGTGGTTGAGATCTGGGTTAGATGTCTTAATATATATTTTTTCATAATAAGAATACATGTTTGAAATCCTTTTTGGAAATATATTTAAAATGGAACAAAATGAATAGGAAGACTGAAATTAAGTTCTTGGTTTGGTTTAATTATCAAACATTACTGTATATGCATATGCTGTTTATATCTCTTTTGTGTGAATATGGACGATCATAGCAACATACAAATGACATACCACAAGCCTATTCTTGAATCTTCACTGTCACAATCAAATCAGAGAAAGATGAAAAACATGCCCATCAAATCCTATTTTAAGAGCCCATATATTCTCTAGTGATCTGGTTTTATAGTCTCAGACCATAAGAAGGCTGAATGACAGCTAAACCACTGTAACAAGTATAAATATGCTTTCCCTCGCTTTATCATTTGTGATGTCTATTCAGCTTATAAAAGAAACAAAAACACATACTATTTGCAGTTACCTAACACAGTTTCACAGAATCAATTTTTGTTTGAATTCCATTGAATTTTAGAAGAAGAAAAATACCCACAATGCTATTTTCAATTAATTGGGTGGGAAATTTCACAATAATAATGTAAGAATATGTACTATTTCTGTTCCAATTTCTTGATGTGTGGAGTTCAGGGACGAGGCTAGGGCAGGGACACAAAGTTGGCAGGGGGTGGCGAGATGTACAGTCCTGCTTCAAACCATGAGTGCCATAAGTAAGCATTGTGCAAATAAAGCTAGTGTCATAAGCCCTGTTGCTCCATTGGGCTCAAACATGGCTTGCGTTATGAGCTGACAGGACACCAAGGACAGAGAGGAGGATCCTGGTAAGGTATACACACTGGGACAAGCTGAAGATGGGGAGGGGCAGGTTGGGGACTTACAAGGTACTCACGGGACAGCAGAAGACACCGAGGGAGCAGCATGGACAGTTCAGGGGAGGCAGGGGGAGAAGACACATTACCAGAATCAGAAATACCCTCCATCTCCGCAGACACGGTGGGCTCAGGAACATCAGGAACTGCACTTCAAAAGACTGAGGCAGGCAAGGGAACACAGCTCAGCCACTAGTGGACCAGGTGAAGGTCATAGGACTCGTTAGGTCTGGGAGGAGATTGTGGATTAGGTTCAGGGCAGGTGAGGATCACATGCTTCATCAAGTTGAGAAGCTCAGGTGCTCAGCTGGAGAAAACTCTGGTCTGTAAATTTATCAGGACAAGTTATTTGTTGTTTACTGTAGTAATAATTGTGTTCTTAAAATTTATCTTCTGTATTATGAAAATAAATAAAACCATTATTAAAAAAATAAAAATGATTGGGTAGGATTAAAGGGAAGCAAAGCAGAAACTCTTTGTCTGCTCAACTTTCTCTGTTAATGGACCACAGCTTGGCTGCTTCCGGAACGCCAGTGGACTGTGACTTCTGGACTGACCCCAGGTGTTCCAACACAGGTTCTTCTGCAGAGGCGGTAACCTGACCTTACTAATTGACTTTGGACCTTGCTTTGTTGCATTGGACCTGGACTGGTACCTGACTGGACTGTGTGCACTATCAGGACTTACCTCTGGGGTATGCAGGGGTTCAGAACAGCTTGGCAGACTCAGGTGGTTGAGGAGGAGGAAGAGGAAGCAAGAGCAGAGATGAATTGTGAGAACTGAGGATGGCTCCTTTCTGCCCCTCCTGTGGAGTAGAGAGCCTCTTTGGGGGCTGAGGAGGGCAACGACCAACCACTGGAGATGGCTTAGTGGGAGGTGGCAGATGCCGAGCTGGAGTCAGGAAGGGAGAGTGCAGCCTAGTCACAGAGGACCAAGTGCCACCTCCAGAGATGGGAACAGGCTCACCCACCAGATAGAGTGTGAGCCTATGAACCCAACATTCCTACAAGGTAAGAGTCCGATGAGAATCTTGTCACCTTGTCTTTAAAAGCTTGGTGAGTGGGGCATGAAAACTCACTGGGGCATCTTTATTGATTCCACCCAGTTCTTAACTGCTTGCCCAGCTCCTGGACTCCTACTGCTGCTGCTAAGTTATGCTGTTCCTTGCCTAAAGAAAGATCTCTGTCTACCTCACAAGTATGAGCTTCTGTCATGTTTTGGGCAGGAGTCGGGACAGCTAGTGCGGTAGCGTGGGGGGTGCAGGGGGGGCCGGCCGCACCGGGCGCAACATCTGGGGGTTAGGGTTAGGGGGCGCAAATCCATGGGTTAGGGGGCGCAAATTACTTGCCTTGCCCCGGGTGCTGACAACCCACGCTACGCCACTGGGGACAGCTAGACTAATACTGCAGGTAGAAAGCTAGTATTCCTTCCCTTCGCTTCCCTTCCCTTGCAGTGCATACTGCAACTTGTGAAGAAGGTCTTGGCTATTCTGCCCTGCTTTTGCCAGCAAGTTGAGAGTAGGGTGGGCTGAGGAGTTCAAGATGGCTCAGTTTTCCTCCTCCTCTTCCATGCATCCTCAAAGTCCCTTCCCATCTGGGCTGCAGGAGTGAGGACGAGGCTGGTGGCAGCAACTAGCACATAGTAACACCCAACAGGCAGCAATGCAGGGCTATTATGCAACAGCAACAGAGGGTGTATGAGAGGCTCTCTTGAGCACACCCTACTTCCCCCCCACAACTTCATGTTGCAGCATCATTACTTGAGTGTTTCTCTGCTGATGTATCATGTGACTGGCTGCTAGGGAAGAGAAACACATACAGTACAACGTCAAGAACACAGGGCTGGTTGCACAACACATTATGTAGGAGAAACTGGACTGGGGGCTGCCATTTGGGAATCTTCCTTATGTTCCTGTAACATAGTTCTGCTGTCAACCAATGCATCAGACTCTATTCTGCTGGAGCAAAGGAGCTTCAACGGGAGACTGCAATATGAAATCACTGGATTTTAACACATAAAGTGTTCCTGTGCCTCCACTTGTGGATTGAACTGTGACAATGGGTCATTATTTTTTAGCACATTATATGTGTTAATTGGTTTAGCAATGACAGGACAGCTGTGTCTTCAAATACTGCTTTGGGAATGACCACTGTTAAGTATGTAATTATCACTGTCTGTTCTTTCCTGCGTTTTGTTTCCCTCTGGTGTCACTTTTCACAATCACCCCATCCAAGTTCATGAATCTGATGAAGTAGACTGTAATAAACTTGTCATAATATATTCTACAATAAATTAGCTAGTCTTTAAGTTGCCTCAAGACTCTAATGTTTTTGCTCTAAAAGACTAACATGGCTACATGGCTAACATGTTGTGGTCTAAAACATCAGAGGGCAATAGCTAAGAGAGGCTGAATTAGATTATATAAATCCCAATTGATTTTGAATGCACGCTTCCACAGAGGCAGGTCTCTGCAAATATAAGATTTCTCAAGACAGGATCAAACTCAACAGGTTTCTGTTTTTCCAAGGTGTGATGAGCAGAATCAATTGACTCTTAATAACATTACAAACAAAATCAAATACACTTATTTTAAAGAATATTAACAACAAAATTCTACTAAAAACTTGAGGTGCATTTCTATTCTTGTGCTTTCTGCTCTTTTGACTCTCTATTTCTCAGTTTCTGGCAAATGTCTGCCCTGCTCCCATATCACAAAAGACAGTAGCAGAGGCTTTTACTTGTTACGTAATACAGTGGTACCTCGGGTTACATACGCTTCAGGTTACATATGCTTCAGGTTACAGACTCCGCTAACCCAGAAATAGTACCTCGGGTTAAGAACTTTGCTTCAGGATGAGAACAGAAATTGTGTAGTGGTGGCGCAGTGGCAGCAGGAGGCCCCATTAGCTAAAGTGGTCTTCAGGTTAAGAACAGTTTCAGGTTAAGAACAGACCTCCAGAACGAATTGAGTACTTAACCCGAGGTTCCACTGTAGATCTTTATTCAGGCATGTACTAGTATAGGCTCAGCAGAAGCCACAGGGTCCAGAAGTCATCATTCCAAAGTATGTGAGTAAGACAAGAGATTCAGAGCTGAAGGAAACCAATGATGATGTCTCAACAGTTGTCACACCCTTCCCTTCCAGCTTTTAAAGCCGAGGTGTGGTGAGCTCACTGTGAGACTTAGTGACAAGACTGTGCCCTGCCTCTCTGACTGCAGGAAGAATTCAACATAGCAGTCTCATTCTGCCAGCACAAGGATTTCAGCTTGCTAGATGAAACAGTCTCCCCTCTCCTTCCTCTGCGCACTGCTTTGGGGGTTCTCCCAAGCCCCCCCCCAAGCCAATTTGTAGCGGGAGAGGGAAAGCCTAGTTGCACTAGCAGAATTCTGCTAGCAGAACTTGTTAGTTGGATCTGTAAAGGCCGATCGGACCTCAGGGGCATAGGGAACCACTAGAAGTGGTCCCATCAAGCAATCTCAGTATCAAGGTAGTACCATCTGGATGGGCTTGCCAAGAAAAGCAGCTTTGAAAACATACTGTTAAATAAATATCCAACCACCAGTTCAGCCATCTTTTGTACATGCAGTGGTGGCCAGTCCCCATTGGGACTGGAAGGGCATAAAGCAAGAAGCCGACAGTAAGTGGCACCAGAACCAATGTTAGGCAGAGTCAAGCAAATTTAGTTTCCTCCCCCCCTTCCCACCTGCTCCCTGCTGAGTTCTAGAAATGTAACTGAGCCTAAGGATGAGGAAGCTGACAGCCACCTTAGGTTGGTGGATCAGTGCCCCATTCATCCTAATGAGGACACCGTATTGTCCTTCGCAGCAGGCACCACATTGTCTCAGGCAGCCTGCTGGAGAAGAGAGTGCCCTGCCTACTTTGATCTACATGGAGAATTGCCTTCAGCCAGGCTATGTTTTTAACCGAAAATTGTCTGTTCTCTGTCATACTGAGGGGTTCTTTCTCATCACAAGCTGCCTGATCCTTCTAAGGGATCAAGGGCTGGATCCAGACACGTCAAATAAGCGATTCAGTTAAACATGTTATAAACTCATACAGGGAAATCTGGCAGGGTAAGATGGGACTCCATAGCGCCATATAAAACACTTAAAAAAAAACCCAATCTAGCTGAGTCCAAGGACTAAACTTTGGACCTTCTGCAGGCAAGGTTGAGCATGTGCCGTACCATTAAATGATGAAAGGAACATTGGTGGTATCTTGCATAGTTTATTCCTCCAAGGTACTCTTGTTCTTCTGAGGTCAGTATTGGTCACCGCCAGCCTTGACATAGGACAAGAAAAGGGGTCCTATTTACTTTTCTGGAACCCATCTGACTAAATTCAACCATCTGGTTATTTTTCCTGTCCTTTTCCCTGAAGCCCTTTTAAAGTCTTGCTCTGCTTCTGAAGCTAGTAAAACATCACTCACAGCATGTTGTCAGTATGACCCATTTCTGCCACCACTCTTCAGAAGACAATTTTCTTTTTGGGTAAGATCTGTTTGATGTTCTCTATATAGATTTGTTCCCCACATAGCCTTCCCCAAGAGGAAACTGGGTATCTGCAATGGGTAGAGAAGAACCACACCCCACTGGAGCTGAATCAGATAGGATTATTATCTTTTATTCGCATTAAGAATGAGGATTGTGCCTCTGGAGCTGGTCTTGAGACAATCCGAGTATATAGGTCCACACTACAGAACTTGAACCTAAGTCTTGATCTCGTTCACTCATCTTATAAAATCTCCACAAGGATTGTTTCATAACAATATACTAAAACCTTGCCCAAAGAGTTTGAAAATAAATGAATACCATTTGGCCATATGGAAAATCTAGAACACCTGTGAGAAGTGTGTTGAGAAACAGTCTTATAAATGGTGTATTTTCTTTTTAAGGTAGACAGATTTCATCTTAGTCATCGTCATCTGTCTGATTAATTTGTTACTTGCAAATGAACTGGGCACAAAGTGCACTTGTATCCAAGTTATGCATTTGAAGGCACTTTTTTTGGAATAGAAGCATATGATTCAGCAAGTTCTTCTGAGAAGGTTTCACATAATTATATTTTTTTTCACAGAATCTAAACTTACAGACTTGCTCACTCTAAGTGATTACATAAGATCCTGATGGAACTTTACAACAATCTGGCCTAGCTCTTGCAGAGGCAATGTTGCAGAGCTTTCACTCTCTGGTCTGATGCAGAATTCTGGGTGCATCTGCATCTCTCATTCAAGTCTTTTATTATCATTACTCGTCCTTCCTTAGGAGTGCAGAATTGAGCTACCTCCTCTTTAGCTTCACAGCAACTCTGTGGAGTAGCTTATT